ATTCAAAACATCCTATTTCACTTTTTTTAACTTCACTGAGAAGTGAGCTGATGTCCATGTATAACCATCCATGGTAATTCTGGTATCTCCTTTCTATATGATATAGTACACTGCCTATTGCTGCATAGGTACAATAAGGGTTATTTTTCTCCACATGCATTACTTTTCACATAGGAACATGGATCTTTTGGCTGAGAGTACAAACAATGCAGAGATGAAATTCAGAGATCTCCTATTCTAAGGGTTCCTTGCAAGCTGAAGAAATGAGGAATTACGCAGTTTGTGCCCATGCTGTGTGTTTGTGACCAGGAGACTTCAGTCTCACTATACAGAGTGAGCAAAATTCAGCCCTCATTTAAAAAGGTACCCATCATTTTGGAAAGATTATTATGGTTTTGCTCAATTTGGCCATTGTCGTCTGTTGAGCAAATTTTCTTTGGTCATTAAAGGGCTCAACCATCTCTCTTTTATGCAAGGACTTTTTATACAAAACTTTCTGGGTCTTTTGAAGAGAGCCCTGAACATTTGCTGCAGCCAGTCCCATCGCTGTTCCCTAAGGGAGTGTCTCTTAGCCCAGGGGCAGGGGTTTCTGTGCTCATTTCCAGTAGTTCAGACAAGTTCCCCTCACTAGTTCATTAGAGAGTCCTAAGGTCATTTAAATTGTATTATTCATAAAGGAAGATCTGAGGCATTATCTTGGACACAATAAAAAAAGAGTATTCTGAGAAAAAACAGGGCCTATCATGCCTTATATGGCTTGGGCTTTGTTGTTTGCTTCCTACTTGTAGGGAGATATCCCTAAAGATTTCTACTGAGTGAGTATCTTTTTGTGTTAAGTCAACACTATAATAAAAGCCCATTCAGAAATGCTGATTCTTGAACTGAGTCTCCAGTGACTTTCCTTTGTGGATCTTTCTCTGTTCTGGTACAAGCTTTCTATGCACTAATAGTCGGTAACATACGGAGACAACACCTTGAAGAAGTGCAATAACTGAGCAGGCATTAATTTATTATTGAGACTTGCCTCCACAAAGTTTAATTGCCTAGAACATAAACAAGTAAGAAGAAAATCCATGTATGCAACTTGTTCGTTGCACAGAAGAAGGAAAGATATTAATGGACCCATCTGAAGTGATGAGAGACATCAGCATGCTTGCACACACTGGCCCATTTCAAGCACTCTCCAGTAAGTTTGGAATATATTGGTGAGCAAAGTGCAGTACAGATGAAAGCTCTCTTCGTGCTTATGTTCAGATGTAGGTGGAATGATTTCTCATAATTTTTATTAAATTGAAGTCATAGAAAAGCCAGTATGTATCGACCTCTTCACAGGCTGTGTGTGCATGTACGCAGCAAGTGAGTGGATTCGGTGACGTACCTCCTGACCTTGCCTTCGCTGAAGACGGAGAAGATGATGTTTTCACATATTCAGCTGTTTGATTTCCTTTCCACTAGCCATAATTAACATTTATTCAAGCAACATTAGGAAGAACATAAATATTTCAAAGAAGCTAATTACAGCATCCAAAACATCCTCCAAGCTATTCGTTTAATGAGGATGTGCTTTGTTCCTGCAATAGTGTAACATTAATTTCATCAAGCAATTAAACAAAACAAAACCAGATACAATAGAGAAAGATGTATTTTTTTTCTCCTGTTTACAGGAATGCTCACTTGCATTTCAGTGAATTTCTTGCGTAAAGGTGACCAGCGTGAGCTATGTAAACCTCCTACAAACTGAGATTCAAGCTCAGAGAACTTGCTCTGTCAAAATTTGCACAGATGTCAGTAGAAATATTGTCTTGGTATAAACTTGAGTTTGGTCTTAAGGCAAATATATGTTTTGGTTAAAAGTGATACTGTTTTTTCTAGCGTATGACTAGGAGGATTACAGTTATGCCCAAATCAGTTTGCCTTACTCATATTATCAGGAAATGCAAAACTACACTGATGCTCTTAGTAAAAAGGCATAGTCTAAAATGAAATGCATTTCATACTGGGCTGGAAGTATTGGAAGACTGTAGACTGCTAGGATTCAGATAATGTGACTCGTGGCCCAAATAAGATTGCATGTGTAATGGCTACTGCTTTTGCCCATTAACAGGAATCTGCTGAAAACAAAATTCAGGTTTCAAATGAAAGATTATGGAGCAATACAAATCCAAGCATAGAGAGAAGTATTAAATGTTTTGGGTTTTTTTTTTCTGCTAAATGGAAGACCAGAATTTTTCTACCTGGAAATTTTTCTCATAATCTTCAAAATCTTTTAATATGTTTTTGTGCAAGCAGACTCAGCAAAATTTTTCAGCCTGCAGTATTAAAACACATTGCACAAAAATGCAATTTCTGGGCTAATCAGAACTCTTTCAACTGAAAATAAAGTTTAATTCAGGATGTATCTTTTTCTTCACTATTCCTAAAACACTCTGTACCATTCAACGGGTACAGAATGTTTACAGGTATCTCACTCTCAGATTATAAAAGACTGTAATTTACTTTATTTCACAATCTATTAAATATTTAACAAGAAGGTAATAATTAAAATGCATAACAAATTAATTCCTTCCTTAGGCCAAGGCTCAGGACACTGATTCATGCATCTGGATCAAGATAGATTAGGGACATACCTTTCAGTGCTGATGACTTCCCATTTATGATAATGTCTTCTAAATAAATGTCTTCTGTTTTTATTAACAGAAACCAGAACCAAATGTAATTCCTCATTCGGATTGTTTTAAAACAACTCTTTTAATTAGGTAGATATAAATACAATAATACATACAAAATACAGGCTTCTTTAATTTATGTACTGGTCTAACAACTGGCTTTCCATTAACACAAGGATTAGCTCTGTCCCCAGTCATGTTAAGGAAAGCTTTGCTACTGAATCTGATAGAGAAGATACTTCTATTACTAGGAGAATTTTATAGCATCTTGGCATGCTGGTTGGCAAATCTTTCAAAATTTTGGTGGCCTGTCAAAGTGTTCAGGGTGGCAGAGCACAATCTGTAACACATAGAACTGATAAGGGTAAAGGCAAAGAGCAGACAGCAATGCTATGGTTATAAATCAAAGCTATCTTCTGTTTCACAGCAACAGCCACCCCTCTTGTCAGGCAGCTTTACGGCACCACCTGCCATTCATCCCTGGTCAAAACCCACTGAAATGGTCAAAAGGAACTGCACATTGTTTTGGAAAATAACAATCTCTAATATTGTCTCATTGCTGGACCATGATGTAGTATTTCCTTTGAAAGTCAGAAAAAAGCAACCAAGCAAAAAAATAGGAGTGAATGGAAAAAGAAGGGGAAACAAATCATAAAGATAGACTGTAAATTGGGAGATGCTGCCCTGAAACGCTCTCCATGGCACCTCAGCCTTGGAGCAGCACCTCAGCTGGGCAGGATCTTCCTGGAGCAAACAGTGAGGGAGCAGAGAGTCAGACACGCGCCTTCGGAGGAAGCCAGACCCTGCTGCTGGGCTGGGTGTGAGGAGCGGGTCAGCACCAGCCTGAGCATCCTGCTGGGAGTGGGCATGATCTGTTGGCTCAGGCAGTGGGAGGCACTGGCAGACTGGGTAGCAGGTCTGGTAAGCCAGGGCGTGCTGTGTTCAGGGGTGGCTGGGACCAAGCTGTCCAAGTGGCTGTACAGGTTTGGGGTCTGTGTGCTTTTGAATATCTTATAAAGTAGTTGCCTTGGCTACCTACAGGCATAAATAGCACCTGGGAACAAGGTCTGCAGCTGTATTTTAAGTAGAATGCCTTGCTAAGCACAGTATTAGGATTTTAATCACCAAATGACAGAGTTCTGTTTCATATTGCGGCATTTTGTGTGTGTGTATTTAAGAACTAAAGAATGCTTATGTCTAGATAAACACCGAAAAATCAGCTGAAACTGACAACTTTTGTAACAATCTGAGACCAAATGGTTGATGGGCCAACTCGTGACCATGTCTGGAAAGGAGGAACCCAGAGTTCTCGGGAAGGACACGAAGAGGTGCCCTTTTCACAGCCACTGGGGACCACCAGAGACGACTAAAGACCCCCAGGGACGCCCCTCGGAGACCCAGGCCGCCTGCATAATGACTATGAAACATGATAATTAGTTCCAGGTAATAGACTGAATATGTATAATCATTCTGGGAAGTTTAATGCATATGTATGTAACGGGGTAATATAAGCTTTGATTGATGCAACATACGGTATGCACGATAGGCGGAACAGTCCCCCGAACATCCGCACCGCAATAAAGAATGCCTGCTTCTTAATACTACATTGGCGTCAAGGAGTTCGTGTCCCCATGTCGGTGACACCTGCAGCGGGGGGTCCTTCAGAAAAGTCAGCGATCGGCGGGTCCCAGGGCAGAGGGGTGCACATCCTCAGAGCCCCACATCCCACCCACCGACGCCTTCTCCCACACGCAAGCTCAGCATGTTTTAACTCCCAGGTTCAGCTAGTTGGGGGCCAAATCTGCGTGAGATTTCCCCGTTTTAAACCCTGCCTCTTCTCCCCTCCACAGCGGGCTGGGACCGTGTCTGAACGCTCCCCTTTGCCACCCCCGTTTCATCACTCCGAACGGCCGAGCCCGGCGAGGGAGCAGGAGCAGCAGCAGCAGCAGCTTTCGCTCCAGCCATCCCGGCTGCTAGCAGGGCTCAGGGCGGCTTTGAAAACACGGGTTTTTCCTACAGAGGGGGTTTACTAAGGGCCCTGGAGCCCGCCCAGCCCCTCGCCTCCACGCCAAGCAGGGGCACCCACCGCCCCAGCAAGGCTCACGAGGGGATCTGCCCCCCGGGGCCGAGTCGGCAGCTGCCCGGCCTGGGCAGGGTCTGGCCCGGGGGGGGCGGGGGGGGAGCGGGCCGGGGGGGCAGGGCGGCCGACGCGCCCTCCCCCAGGCGAGCCGATGCTCGTCCACGTGTCAGGGAGATTTAAAAAGTTTGGGCAGGGAGCGGGGCCGTGCCCAGAAGAGCGGCTGGCAGGGAGGCAGCGCAGGGGACGCCGCCGGCATGGGAAACCTCTGCCACCAGCAGCCCCCCGCGGCCCCCCGCCAGCGCGGCCGGAGGAAGGCAGGGCACGGCGCGGCTCTGCCGGGGTCCCCGCTCCTCCTCCTCCTCCTCCTCGCCTCCTCGGTGTCTGCTTCCAAAGGTGAGGAGCATCCCCCTCGCAACCCCTTCCTGCACTGCCAGCTCTGCGATTTTTTATTTTTTTTTTTTTTTTTTGGGGGGGAGGGGGGTGACCCCAGCAGCCTGCCAGCCTCGCGGGGGGGCGGCAAAGCGGGGCCGGGGTGGGCGGCGCGGCTGGGGTCGGAGAGGCAGGGGTGCGCTGGAGGTTGCAGCTGCTGGGCACGGTTTCGGGGCTCCGTTCTGGGGGGGGCTGCTTCGTGTATCCCGGCAGGATTGCCCTGTCCTGGCAAAACTACGCTCCAGCAGCTTGGGGAAGTGGCTTTTGATAAAAGCGATTTCGTTTTAAACATAATTTACTCGGATTTAAAAGCTAAGAAAAGAGAAACGCGGTGTATCGCAGAATTGAAGGAAAAATTAGGACCCTCTGGAAGCCACTTAGTCCAACCTGAAGCGATATTTATTGCATGAGGAATCCCTGGGGCTGGCGTTAAGTGGGAAAGGGTAGAGCTGCTGAGCTGCTTTAGGCGTAGAGCTTGATTACCTTGGTTTAATTTGAAATGTTGTCTTACACCTGAAAGTTGCTATTTTTGTAGCAGGGCGTGCTTGTGAAACAAGCACAGCTAATGGGCTTTTTAACAAAACATACTCTCTTTTTCTATTCTAGTTTCCCACTCCAGATAGATTAACTGCTTATACCTTGTGAAGTCACATTACAAAATAAGTTGCTGTGCAAGGAGGATTTCTGTTTTGTTTGTATTATGTATGTGTGAGTTGCTTTCATCAAGAGTTTTTTTTCTGATTTGTTGTGGTTTTTTAATATCAAGAATGAAAGAAATGTAAGTACAGTATACCTAGTATTCTGTTAAAAATAAATTCTGGAGATGTGGAAGAGGGGAGGGAAGGAAAAGGGGGGCAAGGAAGGGCAATGGCACACAGTATTTCATCATTGTTCCCGTAGAAATGATTGCCAGGAACTTGTGTAGGGAGAGCAGTGGAGGGAAGAGAAGATGTAAGAAGTGAATCCCAGGTTGGAAAGTGACTGAAACTGCATCTGGCATCCTACTGCCTTGGAAGAAGTTGAGTTTTTAGAAGTTGGCAGAATTGAAGGACAAGAGAACAAACGTGTCACAGACAGTGTCAATTCTGTAGGAGGATTTTCTCCTCCATGTTCCTTTTCACCAGGACTGTTTTCCTCAACAGCACTCTTTTTTTTTTTTCTTTTTTTTTTCCCCTCCCCCTCCCCTATGGTTATTTTGTATATATTGCAATCGAACTCATTGTTTCCCTGTGTGTGCTGTTGTGTACGTGTGTAAATGAATGAAGTCCTGTAGGGACTGCAGCTCTGTTCTGGATGGGGTATGGAGGGACACCCCTAGGTGCTGGGAGGAACATAGTCCTGGGTGTGAGCACAAAACGGATGGGACTGCACATGAAATAAGGTTTTTGTGAATAAGTGGAGAAGGGTTAAGGAAACTTAGGAGGTGGTGAAATACTTGCATCTCCTCTGTCCAAAAGTTTATGCTCCAGGAAAAAAAAAAAAAAAAAAAAAAAAAAGGCAGCAAGCTGTAATATTCAGGCTTTCTTGCCTGCTGCCCTAACCTTTAGCAGCTATTGGATTTCTTCTGCTCCCCCTGGAAAGCCTTGGCAACGGCAGAAGCAGCATTCAGAGACAGGCAGGCAAAGGTTTAATGGGGAAGGTGTGTTAATTTGAAATGTTGCCCAGTTTCACCCTTTGCAACCAGGACACCAGTCCCAGGCAATACTCCAATTTGAATATACTAATTTAAGAATAGAAAACAAAGTAAGAGAAGGGTAGCACCTTTAATTTATTTGGTGTTTTTCCTTGAACTAAAACAAACATCCAAAAAAGCAACTTTTTCTTTGGAAAGCAGTTTTTTTGTTACGTGAACATCTCAGAAATTTAAAAAATATCCCGCTTCTACACAGTGTGAAATTGAGACCCCCTCTAATTCTTTTTTTTGGGAAAACAAGTATCCAGAATGATTAGGCACCTTAAGCCTGTGCCAGTAATATGATTTTGAAATTCACCCCTTAATGTCTGGAACTAACTAATGTTGTAATTATTGTTATTAATGGTTCATGTAAAACAAATGGAGAGGATGGGCATTTGTACCCTACTCACCTGGCCATTCTAGTTAAGTCTACCTTCACCTCTTTTTTTGTTTAATTTGGTTCAATTCTTTAGAAAAATGTGACCACAGGTAACTATAGACTGTCTGGGAGGGTATAAAAATCTCTATTAATCTGAGGTCTTTAAGCACAGTATATAAACTGGTTAGGCATGCCTCATGGGCAGCAACGTTGGGCAGGGGGATAAATTAGATGACTTCGTAGGGTTTTCTGCAGTGCTAGGACTGTAAAGATAAACCACCACCCTCTCCAGCACCAATCTCCCTCCCAGGTGAGTTACAACACATCCCCTCACTGATACACTTGTGTGGAGTCTAGTGTACTCACAATTCAGCGATGCTCACATTTCTACTATTTACAGAGACTCCAATAGTACATTGCTATTAGAAGTATACTGCCAGATAAAATAACAATGTGGAAAGGTGGGTATTCAGGGCACTGAGTTCGGAGGGACCCAGAGACAGTGACTTCCACATCTGCAGCCTGGGTGGGCAGAGATGGAGAAAGGAGCTGCCCCCAAGCCAAGCATGGCATCACTGTAGCATTATGCAATTAGTAACACATTTAATCTTCTAAGGGATTCAGATTTTCCACATCACATATACCAAACAGAGGAAACAAAGCCAGTTGCACATGTACTGTCTATCACCTTCTCAAAAACACCATGTTCATATCATGGGCATTATTCATATGCAAGCGTACGTTATGTAGCACGTTTAATTCTTGAATTGTAACATACAGGAAAGCAAGAGGTAGGATCCAAATTCTCAACTTGGAATGAGTGCGCTGGAGGTGACCTGAGTTCTCAGAAACCTCAAGGTTGTAGGTGCTGGAATGTGTTTTCCTGAACAGGTCTTAGTATTAAAGAGCTGCCATGCAAATTTTCTTGCCTGCTACTTATCGCTGAGAACAGACTAATGCTAGCCTGACCCTCAGTGAAACCTGAGTAACTTCCACACTGTTTATTGCTAAGAGATGTGAGTGTCTGTATCTGCTGTGAACTTGGGAAGAAGCCTCCTGCTGTGTTGCTAACATAGAGCAGGCAGAAACTACTGGACAAACCCCACAACGCCCAGGGCAGCGGACTGCCTTGGACCATCCAGCTCTCAGACTTTGCAGTTAGTAAGTGTGCTAGGTATCATATCATGTTCAGAGTTTTTATTTAAATCACTGACACAAGATACTTATACAAATGACCTTTGCTGTACAGCGTTGCTAAGCGTGGTTTGTGCTTCCAGGTGCACTGATGCCATCCCAAGCGCTCGAGGCAGATGAGGATTTGCAGCTGTGGAAAGAGGTAAGCACCACCTGCCATATGGTATACTCCCATTTCTTCTGTGCCCATCCTTGCCACAGTCACACCTGACTCTCCAGTATTTCTCTTGCATGGAGTTCAGGTTCTTCTTCTTCCAGTCCTGCTTCTCCTGTACATCTCCTATCCTGACATCAGCAAAGAAGTGAAACATCTTATTTTTCAGAATTTCTGAACAGTATTTCCAGGAGGATGTTGAGGCTGGGTGTTAAGATGTCCTTCTGGGAAGCCTGTCTTGGCTCAGTGGTGAGCTACGTTTGATAACGGTTGTCATTCAACTGCCAATGACCAGGCAGTCACTGTCCCTGGAAGCAACACAGTGTCCTGTCTGGTAGTTTTATAGTCTGTGCATGATACACAGGAATTGCTTCAACTCAGCCAGTCTTACCTCTTGCTTCTTCTGTTCTGTACACAGGGCTGGGACACTGTATTTAATCCTATCCTAGCCTCTCACTTTACTAGGTAAAGGATAATATACTGTGTCAGTTGGTCCCTCTAACGTTTTGCTATTGATCGCTATCATAACTTCCGCTCTCATCTTTGAAATGAACATTTGTTTTGACTCTAGAACGTGACACGTGTTAACATGGGCTCTTCCTTGCCCTTTTGGAACAGATGGAGCGGCAGGGCATAACAGAGTTTAGCCTGTAACTTGCCTGCCCTGGTGTTGCTGTAACCTTCAAGTATTCTTCTGACATTTAATTTTGTAGCTTCTGATAGCATCAGAAAACAAGTGACTCACCAGGGGTACAGATGCAGAGAGTAACTTTCTTCCTGCTGTGGCCATTACAGGAGACACTTCCCTTACTGTCAGCTCCCCTCAGTTCATATCAGAAGTGTTGACTCAAACACCAACGTATTTCTAGGCTGGCACTTAAACAAGCACTGGTGATACTTGCCTCCTGGGGGAAAAGTGGTCTTTGGGGAAGTAAGGTCCTGACAGCTTTAAGGAGTTATTTACATTCTGGATTGAAAAGTGCTATTTTATACATTTCTGCATTTATTGTTGAGATTTGCTAGTTGTAACACAGGATTTGTCTCTACACCAAGTATAGGCAAAGGCAAAGTTTCCATTGATTTCAGTGAACAAAAAAGTACACATAAGATACTAAATTCCATGTAAAATTATGTAACATGAGCAATATAAAACTTACTGTTATAACAAGAATAATGCAGGACTGGAGATGGTCTAAGGAAAGCAAATTAGATGCATAGGTATATAACCTAAATCAACCTGATTACAGAATCATACTAGTCCACCAGAGTTTCTAAGAGTGAAAAGAATCAGTTCTTCTTTGTTTGTTACTTTATTAGCGGATCATTCAGGAGAAGCCCTGCCTCTAAATTAACCTGGTATTTTCTAGGAATGATTCTGAGTTTATAAATACAGGAAACTAACTAAGTATTGTGTTTCTTTACTTGTCTCTCACATCCTTTTGTTTCTTTATGTTATTTAACCAAGCACAAACAACTCGCAAGTTCCCACCCTCAGGCCACATTTCTGAGATTGGAGAGAAAATTACTGAGAAGATGCATGAAGGATGACAGAAACTATTAAATTTTTATTTTTATTTTTTTTTAAAAACAAATTAACAGAAACTGTGGCTTTTCCTCAGCCTTTGCTTTGTCCATGCAGGTTTTAGCTGAGAGAGACCTTGCCTTGCATTGCATCCAACACAAAGCAGTCCCTGGCTTGTCCTGCTACCGAATTATGGTAGTTTTCTAAGAGTGACCTCCAACTACAAAACAAGCAAATAAACAAACAAACAAAACCCAACAAAAAAAACCCTTAAGAAGAAACAGCAAAGTTTTAATTTAGGCTACTGAGATGACTTCAGCTTATTTTGTTATTTACTGCTGATTTCTCCCCTACATTTTCTTGCTCTGAAAGTAGTGAAGCTGAACTAATATACCCAGAGACAAACTGCAAGGTGAAGGGAAAAGAGAATGGGGAAGATGTGTTACCAACAAAAACTATTTGAAAGGGGAATTCTATGAGCTATTAGCTTTCCCACTATCTCTGCTAATGCTTTTTCATAGATTGTCTCTAGAGAAATGAATCATCTCTTGTTTTGAAGTGCTCAGATATGCATTATTTGTTTATTGCTTTTTTTCATTTAATGTTTTCATTGCTAAGGAGTGTTGTTTAGGGCTTTTTACCTATACTAAAATCATAAGACTCATTGCATTGCCTAGTCTTTATTTAAAAATCACATTTTTTTTATGCAGTCTATGAACTAAAGGGTTGGCAAAGCTTTTTGGCATCTAGACAAACAGTATCAAAGATTCAGTGGAAGAAATGGTGCGTACCAATGCACGTTGCTATTGATACAATTTTAAAGATATATATGAAAAGTTAAGCCTCTTTTTTCATTATTATTAAACTGTGCATCTTCAGTTGGAGTACTGGCAGTCTTTTCTTATCCTTACAGTATCCTTTGAGCTTTCAGCACTGATAATATTACCTCCATGAATTCAAATACCCCTTATTCCATTTCTTCTCCCTCCATGATTAACAACTCCACTAAAAAAGATTCAGTATTATGGGATTCTTTCATCCTGGAAAAGAGACAACAGAAGGAGGATGTGATTAATTGTCTACACAAGGTCAGGAACAGTAGGGAGGCAACGGGTGGGAATCACTCATTCATTACTTCTTCCAACACAAGATTGTGATAGCACTGAATGAAGCTAGCTTTGAAAAGACTGAACAAGACAAACAGAAGTGATATTTCACACAGTGTTTAGGAAACCCTTACCACAGGACATTGTGGATGCTAAAAGTTTACAATGGTTCAGAGAGAGATTGGTCAAATTCACAGCACAGAAATCCACTCTGGTTGGAGAGCATGGGTTTTATTAGACCACTGGTCTCTTCTTAGGCTCTTCCCTGGGTGCTAGTATATGGCCATTTTTGGAGATAAGATGCAGAGCTAAACGGACATTTATTTTGATCCAGAAGAAATGGCTGATGGGTATTGGGGCTTCTTTGTTTGGTTTGCAGATTTATTTTTGTTTGTTTGTTTGTTTTGTGTCTACATGTGTAACATTCCATTCTGTGCTGACTTGTTTAAGTTCAACAGCAATGACTTCTTCCACAGTCCTCTTTGAGTTTAGAACCCTTGAAATATATAGAATATATGTCTTACTAGCACTGTGATTTGGGAACTGCCTCCTTTAAACAAGATCCTGTAAGGTTCTTCGTTTGCCAAAGAAATCAGTGCAAACCTCGGATATTGGCTGCTTGGTGACTCACGGAAAGTAACTGGCATACATAAGATGTGCTGGCACATATCAGAATCACTCATGAGATGCATGTGACATACACCTGCAGGGGTGCTGGAATCCAATTGGAAGGGTTGTATTTGAGGACTGCTCACTGAATCACTTGCTTTGGTTTTGTCATTTTCTTTGCAGTTTTGTATAATCCAAAGATATCACAGGAGAGATTTAAGTTCATAGTCCATACCCTAGATGCTTAAAATCATAATTTAAAATATGACTTAGTCTGCAAAGGTTACAAATAGGAGGGGCATGAGGCAGCTAAGAGAATAAAGGACACAGATATGTATGTGTTTGATCAGATCAAGCAAGTATATTTTTTTTTAATATGGTTAAGGGCTTTTTTCCCCCTTGAATGCAAAATATTTCATGAATGTACCTATAAGGATTCCTTACGGTGGGCAAGCTTGCCATGCCTTTAGCTGCACTGAACTGTTTCTGAAAATATACATATTTCATTTGTTTTTATTAATCTGACTTCTTAAAAAAGGACTGTGTGAACTTTTACAGATAGACGATGCATGTTCTGCCTACCTGTCCAGAGATTCTCAGCCTCAGGTGAGTCAGACAGGTTACTTTACTTTATTATTTTGATACTATTTGTTATATGTAGTAGGATTGGAAGTGTGATACCTGAATTCATGTTTTCTTTGCATTAGGCATCCAGTGCACTGGAAGAACTTTGTTTTTTCGTCATGGGATTTCTCCAGAAACCACAGGTAACACACACAAAAGACTACTTAGCTTGATCTCTCAGTGTGCCAGTGTCTACAAAGAATTCTGAGGACCCAGTATGTGAAGTGTCACTTGGTGCTGGAACTAATGCTACCAGTTCTTACGCTGAAATGCTATGTGTCCTAATCCAACACCTATTAAAGATAATGGGGAGACTCCAATGTTTGGACAATAATCTCCAGGCTGGATACAAGGTTTCAGGTGTTTTTATTGCTCTAGATTAAAAAAATTATAAGCTCTCAACGGAGAAAGAAATTTACTAAGGAGACCTTAAGGATATGCAAAGGAACATCCGCTAAACCCATTGAGTCTTCTACTGGAGAGTAATCAATACTCTCTACAGAATTTGAAAAGAGTGGTTACATTGATAAGCAAAGACATGTAATAGAACTGTCAAGGAGGGATGATATTCTAATCCAGTACTGAAAAGTTTATAATGTAATCAAAATTGCCCATTGCTCTTTTTTTTTAACAAATAAAAGCTTCTCTACCAATTATTATTCCTACAGGGTTTAGATGAAAAAGACAACAACAAAAGGGTAAGATTTCTATGTATGTTTTATGATCACACTAAAATTGTCAAGAAAATCATAACACCCTTGCCCTGTTTTGTAGTAAAACCCCACTTTTAATTTTTTTGAACAGTTCTTATTTCATTATTCTAAGACTCATGACTCAGGCAACTCGGACATCGTGGTAAGTGGCATAGCACCTCCTTGTGAGTACCTGTGTGCCTATACATAAAACCAAGGTAATGTTCCTGTTTGCAGTAGTCTCTCCAGCTATATAGCAAGCTCAGAACTGGGAGTTTCATGTTTAAGGTATAGAATGTGTTTTAATAACATGGGAGACCGTCAATACTGTATGGGTGTGAAAAAACCCAACCAAATATTCATGAAATCCCACCTGCATCTTAATCTTGTTGTTTCAACATTTAAGAATAACAAATGCTTTTTTTCTGGTACTGGAACATAACATATGCAGTGAAACAATGCGGATTTATAGAAGCTGAGAATATGACCATAAATTTTAAGAACTCTTAAAGAATTTTTATTAATTATTAATTAAATTGTATGTATTTATTTGTGTGTGTCATAAATATGCATCAGGCAAAATAGTACTTAAGTCTCACTCAGTCTTTGGATTATATTTTAAATGAAAAGTATTATTTAAAAAATATCCTAGTATTGTTGCTATAAAAATATTTTCATAAACCAACAAATAAACTACATGTGATCCATTCTTGCTTTTAAAGTGCAAACATAATCTGTTATTTCTGTGCATCTATGTGTTTTTTCTGTGCACCATAGGATTTTGAGAAAGTTAAAAATATTCAAGTTTTCTCATTTCTTAACAATCATTCTTATACGTTAATGTCCATTTTTTCCTTGTTCTTTATATTTCTTCAGAACTATGTGGTGTATTTCTTAGAAAGTGATATTGCTGATATTTGGGTCAGTATTTTCATGATAGAGCTGCTCTGGAGCTTTAATGGTAACAAGGGCACAGTGAAATGAGCTATTTCTGCTGCTGCTCCTGCTTAAGAGGGTACTGCATCCCCCTTCACCCCCAACCTGAATACCTCTGCCCCTGCCTGCCCACAGGGATTACTGCTTTCTCACTTCTGGTTTAGCTGTTCAGGTGACTGTTTTATAGCCCAGTTCTCAGAGATACTAACTTAGGTGAGATCCATCATTCTTTGGCTTTATTAACCTCTCTCTACCAACTGCAAGGCAGAGCCCAAGTGGCCAGCTGGGATGCCCTTTAACTCCTCTGCTACACATCAGACCTCTACATTTTTAGCTATTGTGATGCCACATTGCCTACCTTAGGCAGACAGTGAAAAGCTGGCTCCAAGTAGGCAAGTTCATTTTACCTTTTAAATACATTATCACTTTGGTAACTCTAGTTATTTCATAAATTATATTTCTCTTTGTTGTATCTCTTTTCTAAGAAGTATTGTATAAAAAATGCATTCTTTTTAAAATTATGTTTACATGAGTTGAAGGTTGAAATTGGTTGACAGAACATGGGTTTTCTACTTTTTCTCACTATGGACCTCTTTCCACAAGCCCACGTGGTTGTGGTTTGCCATGGGGCCACCTATGCTGCACAGCATGGCACTGTGCTTAACCAGGCTGTCTGCAAGCATAAAGTCTTGTTGAACACAAGGAATTTCAGGATTTGAACTTCTCTTTTAGTTAGAGTGACCAGTGCCATGGTTACAAATTTTGCTTGAGAATGGATCCCTCCTGCAAACTGTTTTCTAGTAAAAAAAATCATTTTTCTTGCTTCAATTTAAGTTATTTTGAAGTAAAATTAACTTCTCAGTACAACAGAGATTGAAGCTGCTAACTTCCATAGTAGATAATCATAGAAATGTTAGTAGGAGTAGTGTATTTCTCTGTACCACTCACAGAGGCAGACCAAAGTCGGAATAACTGCCATTGTCCAGGCAAGAGGTCTGTAAACAGTTCTGAACGTTCAATGAGTAAAGGTGAGGACACATAGCTTTTCCCTCCATCACTCTGTGAGTCACATTCATAGTGTAAATATAAATGTTGGTACCTGTTTGTTGTCAAGTCAGAATGCTCAAAAAATGAGTTTCTCAATTAACAACTTCAGTTCTTTTTTGGTGTATGTTTGGTCCATAAGCCAATACTGTGGGAAGAGACTTTTTTTGCATCATAAGACCCGAATTTCATTGTTGCTCATGTGTCTGTGTTCGTGTCCTCTCAGTCGTCTGTCCTGCATCCTTTGCTGCAACTCGTTCCCCAGCTTAATGAGAGAAGACTGAAGAGATACAAAGTGGACGTATGTAATCTTAAACTCTGCATGCTTGCATTCTCACACTTTGTGATTCATTAGCTCTTCTAAAAATGTCCTTGTAGACCTTTGTGCTCATAACATTTTTATTTTCATGATTTAATATCACACTAGTGTATTTGCATTAGAAATGTGAGGTTTTTCCATTCTTTAATTAGTGAAAAATAATCCTGCTTATATTTAACATTTAAAACAAAAAACACTGAAGTAATATATGCTTAACACAGAACAGATGTAGAACACAGAGCCTATGTATCAAAATGGATCTGTTAGTTCTTTTATAAAAAAAAAAAACCCAAACAAAACACCCCAACTTTCAAATTTATCTGTACCATTATATTGCGGTTGAGTTATATTTTCTATGGGGGTTCTTTTTTTTTTTTTTTTCCCCCTGTTTGGAATTCAAACCATGTCTACTCCTTAAATATGTATTATTTATGACTTACAGCACTAAGGATTTCCACATAATTTGTAGGCAATTTTACTGTTTAACTTAAGGTGCAGATAAGAAAGTTCCCTATGGAACTAATTTTCCATAGAATAGTAGTGTGTTTTAGAACAAAAGTTTCACATAGAGAGAAATAGCCCCATTGTTTCCAAGATGTCATAAAATTTGGGTATATTTGCTGCAAATGCAATTTCGAATTTCAAAAATCGAAAAGCAGATGGCTATTAATGTCCATCTCTTTAATGCAGCTATGGAGAGAAGAGAAAAATGCAGTCAGATATATAAGAATTTTTCTCTATAAGAATATTGAAGATTCCTATATAATAAAATATACCAAAATCCAACACCTAGATTCTTCCTGTTTTACATTGAATTCAGCTTGTTATTCCTTGTGTTCATTGATATGATTCCTTATATTCACTGATACACAAATTAAATTAGGTGTATGAATGTGGTATTTATAACTCAGATAGTGACATCCTCATAAGTAGGACTTTTCCTTTATTAATCCAGGTAAAGACTGTGTTGCTAACTCCCAAATTTTCAGTGAACTCTTAATCCTGTGATTATGTATGTCAGCTTTCATCTAGTCATGGTTGTGGTTGGTAATACTATCTACCCCTCTCTTTGGATCACTGCATAATCCCAACTATATGCCCTAAATCACATTTTTCTTATCTGGCAACAGAACCTAGCCACATATAAGAATTTAAAGAGTTGGTATGTCTTCTCATGGACTAAAATTGTTATGAAAATTTTAACTCACTACACATCTGAAAGGAAAATACAGGGTAAAATATACCTTCTATGATGACATTGATGTGAACTGTATTTATGCTATTGGACCTATATACTGGCAAAGAATATGCTTGGAATTGCTCTTTGTGCTTTTAAATGAATGTACATGTCAACTAAGACAAAGAATGGGAAGGAAAGCATAAACACAAGAACACAAAACTGCTGTAAGTGAAAAAAACCCTACCTTTTAAAGTCAATAAATTCCTTTTGTTAGAATACTTTATTATCCTGAACTTACTTTCATTGAGGTTGATGGCATAATTAATGGAAATAGAATACGTTAATTAACAAATAATAACCTAAAATTTGTAGTATATGTGGCATATTCCAACATATTTCAACTGCTTCATGGCAGTTTTATTTTTAGTGGGCTCAAAAAAGAAACTACTACAAGGATATTTTTCCAAGTAATAATAATACTAATCTCTACAGAGTATATCAGTCAGATCATGTGTCTTTATATATATTTAGAAAGTCACTATACTTATAAGAACTCACAAATGAAATGTAATAAATTGTTTCTCTTCAAGAGCTGTCAAGCCATCATGTGACAAAGACTTACTTTTTACATCAAAGAAATCAAAGTCCATACTCTACAATTCCTTAGAAAAAAATGAACAATTATACTAGCTATCTGATATAAAAAGTCCTTTTTTTAGGATAGTGTTTGGAAATATTTCTTCCAAAAGGAATTAAAAAAACAGACAAAAAAAATTGCTATAGTGTTTGCGAATAAGCCCAGAGCAGGCAGATATAACTTTGTGGCAAAAGGCAAACATTTTATCAAGCTTCTTTTTGTAAGGCACCTGATTGTACTCATAACTAGTAGTACATGGAAATAGCAACAGTTAGAATTCCAACTATTCTGCGCTGATAACTAACAGTCTTTAATTTGCAATCATGATGTTACACTTATATGTTAACCCAGCTAAATACATAAGCACATGCATAACTGAGGTAATTATTTCAGTGGGACTGTTCACATGCTTAGTGCTAGGCTCTTTGCTACATAAGAATTGTAGTTCCAGCTAAAAGTTTGAATGCAGAATTTGTGGCACTTTCAACTCCTGTGTTGAGTAACAGTAACCCATATTTTGTGAACTACCAGTACAGGAATCTTCTAGATTAGTCAGTGCTCTCATGGATAATTGGATTAGGTTACAGTAGGTGGTGCAGTAACTTCATCAATCCTTAAACAGAACAAGGATGGTAGTCTAACTAGGGTTTGTTCGAAGAGGAATGGAATATAGAACGGTCACATTCATATCATAGTAACAATTTTTAAGAAAGAAGGTGTATTAACAAAAGCCACACTAGTTCAGACTATATTTTCATCAGTCCTGTACCCTGTGTCTAACAGTGTCCTGCTGTGCATAGACACAAAAAAGGTGGAAGGACCAGGGGAAGTGTGGAGTGATCACTCCTCTGGTATATACTCTCCAGCTTCTGGCAAGCACATCCTTGAGACCTTCAGAGCTGAAGGCTTCATCCAGACCATTATGTAAAATAGTCATTAATGGTTTTAAGCAGCTTTGATTTTTCCCTATATGTTTTAAATAAATGATTATTTATTTTGGAATATTTTATCATTTGGCATTCAGGCCTACAAAGTGAAGAGCTCATTAAATCCCAAGTAAAATGTGTAATATTAAATATGCACTTGAATACATTTTCTTCTGTAAGGCTGAAGCCAAGAGAAGTAATGGCATGGCCAACACTTACAGAATATAGCCATTTAAAAATATTCATAAACCCAGTAGAAAATCTAAGGAAACAATGAAAACAGCTCTAAATTGAATTGCATTTTATATAAAGCAACTTTTTTGATTTCCTCTTGTCAATTCCTGCTGTGAATACCAGTCACCTTTTTAAAGGTGTTATTTACCGATATGCAGTACATAAACGCCAGACATTTATGAAATGCTAGCATCTTCTGGAATCAATTTTGTCTGCATACTCTTTTAGTTTTGGTATTTTTGTATGCACCTTATCTATTTTAATGTCATAATAAATCTTTGAAATTCATCCATATTATGCTTATCATATTTATTTACATGGCAGATTTTGGTGTCTTTTAGTATAAGAGATTAAAATCCTCTCTAAATATTATTGCTGAGGGTCATAGCAGTTTATAAGAAAATTAAGAAAATACTGAAATTATCTGTCATCAATAATAAAAGGATTACAATTATTCCCTGACTGTGAGAAAGCTATAAACCTATCTTTCCCAGAGACCCTACCAGATGGGCCAATGGGGAAATGGCATAGGTAAACTTTAAAGCCAGGAGAGGATGGGAGCAACCCTGCCTGAGAAGTGCAGAGGAACTCTGATTCCCCCATGCAGCAGAAGCCCCAGTGTTCCTGTGCACTGCCCACCTTCAGTTGGACTACCTGACTCTGCTGTCACCAACTGTGCTCCAGGAAGGGTTAGCTTGCTGCTGATTTTTTTCCTCCTCATACTGGGAAGAAAACCAGAACCTGCTATACGCAAACACACCCACCTCTCTCCCCGACCAGAGAAGGAATTGAAAAGGTGGATAGGTGAAGGAGGAACATGCTATCTTAAATTTATTCTTTCTTCCCAGTTTGGACTGACACCAGATTTTGTCATGAATTTGATTCCTCTTGAGCTCCATCTTGACTGATATAATATGATCTAAGACAGAAGACACAGTCAAAGAGATTGAACAAGATAAATTTTAGAGGGCGGGCATTAAACTCTAAATAAACACAGAGAAAATACTTCTTCAGGAATACATGTGTTTCTGTATACATATATACATGTAGGTTTGTGAATATACATGCATGTACACTACAGAACGTATCAGGGTTTTTTTTACATGTCCAAAGCCTTGGAAGTTACAAGGCAAGTGTTAAAATGAAGACAGATTTTAGCTTCAGTTGTTTTCTAATATCAGCTTCCTGACATGAAATCAAACCAGGAAACTATGTAATCTTCTTTAAGAGGTGTCTGGTTCTAAGTAGAGAATGATGTATTAATATGTTAAAAGTCCATAAAATAAATCATAATTCCATATTAGTAATTGTACTCTTGACTCCTTTCATGTTCTAGGTCAATTTCCTTAACTTGCAACAGCTGCCTGGTTTGTTTCTGTTATGTTTGTTCACACATTGAATAGAAAAACCAGAAAAATAATGAAATATAAATAGTGTTAAACAGTCCAATGGCAATGTACAAAATTCTACTAATGGGCAAATTTTTAGCCTTTTCAAATTAAAAAAACCTATAGTATTGAATGGATGGAAGATCTGAGATGGGTATTTCAAACCCAGGTAATGCTAGAATCAAGTGGACAATAGGAATAAAAATCATACATGTTTTACCTACAGCAAAGAAACTGGGTATCACGGTATACCTGATGAACTGAAGTCAGAATTAAAAGCAAGACTCGAAAGCTTCCTTGGATTGAAGCTGCTCCTGTGTTTGGAAATTATGGGAGCCATCCTGTTTTATACAATTCTTACAGCATTAGAATAAAGCATGGAATGATTGTTTTCTCTGACAACTCTGGTTATGATCATAGCCCAAGAGATCACATGACCTCAGTTTTTAGTTGAGAAATACCATCACTGCTAAATAAATTCCATCAAAATTTTATTTTCTGCTAAACACAAGATTTAAACTATTTTGTTTCTCAATTGGCCTGTCTCTACACCTGTAGGACAGACACTTCATATATCTGCTATCAACAAAAGCAATGAAAATACTGTCATTAAATTTATGTGTTCTCCAATCATAAAGGTCTCATTAAAGCAGCTGGATACTTCAAGCATTGTACTTGTTACATTTAAATGGAATTTCTATTTTCTTCATCGTTAGTTTCCCCTCCCTTGCTGTACAGATTAGTAGAAAGTTGTTTCTCAATATGTGCAGCATGGACAGGATAGAATATCATAGGCACTGGTCTTTTCTTTGGGAGTTAATCTGAGAGGGGTGATTATGATAAACCTCTGGGAACAGTCTGGGATCTCATTCCTGGGCTGGAGCCCAAGTATTTGTGTTTTTTAAGCTTGGCATTGTTGTCCTTCTGCAAGGTGCAAAGAGACCAACTCTACTTTGTCCGTAGAGACTCTGCTACCATGAAGACACTCTGGTTGTGTCTGGGTAATGAAACCTGGAAGCTCGAAAGCAAAGGCTGCTCATCATTACTAGTACGATCGTAAAAAAAAAAAAAAAAAGCAGTCTGAACTGAGTCAAAACTTGAAGTGGAATTTGGCCCTCATTCATGTGTTTTCTGCTATTCCTAGATGACAACATGAACTTCTTGTCACTGACACGGAGAAATATACATAAAGCATGCCTTAAGGGGCAAGACTGTATAGCAGTACTGAAGAAATACTTTTAATATGTACATAAACAACCTCTCTATACGGATTCACTTAAAAGAGTAGATATGATTTAAAATACTTTTTTTCAGGAAGAACTTCAAGGACCTGGAGGGATTCAAAGCAGAGGCTACTTTTTCTACAGGGTATGGTTTGTTTGACTTTTTTCTTTTCATTTTGTGATGAGTGTTACAAAACAAAAAGTAGAAAAAAACAGTAAATTACAGTAAGAAGTATGGTGACTGAGGAAACTTGTTTCAATCGAGAGCATCCTACTGTATAGGACTACTCAAGATCTGCTCCAGACATTTTCTTGGATTAAAATAAAAGCGTAGTAGGAAGTTTTGTACACATCTTAATGTTTGTGTATACATGATACCATGCTGTGTCTTAATAAGTAATTGGTTATTATACATATAATTCTCAGAGAAAGTTCTAGAAAATATGCCATCTTGGACAATCCTTCCAAAGCATTGCTCAATATGGTACATTTGCATGTGATATAAATACAATACCATGCTTACACACCATATCAAAACAGCTGCTGGGCCTGACCTTCCTATTTTCCTTGTGTTTTGACCAGTGAGATTAGAAACTAGATACAGAAATTCTCATGTGAATGAAACTCCTCTGTTAATCTTTGATGCCATAGAGTTTTTTACTCCATTTTTGCAAAATTGAGCAAGTTAAAGATGGCACATCAAACTTAATAATAATTCTCTTGATTTTGGTTAATCTGTTTTTCTATTTAAATAAGAAAGTGGCTAATGAAAAGAAGTCAAGTTTGTACAGTTGTATTTCTTGTGTATCAGGATTGCATCTTTACAATTCTTATGACAGGCCAGTTATGGGTAATATTAACATCTATGCATTCATGGTGCCAGAGTGAAAAGCAAATTCTTATTAAGCTCAGCAAAAGATTTTTCATCAGCTTTACTAGACATTGTATCAAGTTCCTTTGTAGTACAAAATATTTCTGAAATGACCATGGTGGAAAGGGAGAAACTCTTTGCCCGTATTAAAGAACAGTCTAAAAATAAAATCATTGAGTGACGTATATTTCTTTGTTACTTACAACAAACACTTATAATGCAATAATAACAACAATCTGGAAGAACATCTTAAGAAAATGCAAAAAGAATGAAGGATAATGGTCTCTTAGAGTGACTTCTTGTGGCTTTCTCTCCCTTACAAAATAACACAAGATGCGCATAATTCATTCTTCAATCTCTATACAGCAATTTTTACTGTATAATTCTCCTCCAGAGGGGGATATTCATTAAAAAATAACTGGTCTCAGGTTTATCTTTAATGATGATCACATTGACAGAACTGAGAAATTTCCCACTTTCTATACATACCAAGTTGGGTGGGGCTTTGTTAATGAAACCGGTGAATTTTATGGAGCGCTTATTGGATATTTGTCTTTCAGCCACGCAATGGAAGGAGATCAGTGGATTTTCGCTGAGGTATTTATTTAATGCTTTTAATCACAATCTATACTTAAATTAATTCATTTTTATACAAACTGGGCACAATATTGATGTTGAGGAGTAGTCTCAGAAAGCCTTTAACTGTTTTTGCAACTTCAGATTTCTGCAGACAAGCTTCTCCCAGATGCGCTAAATTCAGGTATCTTCAGGTGAAGTGAATAAAAGCTGTAGGTACTCATTTCCTAGAACAGAGAACACAGAGCTGTTTCAGGCAGCAAGAAATGGAAAATATCCCAGCTCTGTAAACCTTTTGGAAAGTTAACGATGATAAGTGTATGTCAGGAAGAACTGATTCAAATACCTATCAAATACATATTGACATCCTGGGGGTAATCCCCCTATTCTTACACAGAAAAAACCCTCACACTGAAACTAATTACAGACTTCAGGATTTAATTTTAAATCATTTAACTGTTTGGAGAGACATAAAAATGTTTCATTATGCCAATATTATAATGCTCTGTTTTCCGATATATCTTACATCTCTATCATATTTTAAGTATTTAGTGTTATATCATAGCAACAGCTGAAGCTTTTTCTTATTTTTCAGGATTTCAGATTCCTGACCTAGAACTAATGCTGGAGGAATGCTGTGTACATGGACATACTGTTTTCTTTACAAAAATTATTCTTTACAATTAAAAATCACTAGAATGTAAAAGTTCTTAAATTCAATTCCATTAAGAATTCAAATGTTTCTTTACTTTGTTGATTATATTAAAAGCATATTAAAGTTATGTTTCCTGGTGTTATGATGTTTACAACTGTGTGTAAAAAAGTCACAGTGTACGCATGCAACAGACATTGCCTCTAACAAGATTGCTATGTGCATTTATTTTCCCTCATAAATAAAGGCACTCTGTTGTTTTAACGAGAATGTTTGCAATGTAGACTATTGCATTTCTTCAGAATATATTGCAAGTGATTTGTGCAGTCTTTAAAAATCGCAGCTTATCTAGGCAGGCCAAACAAAAGGTGTGGTTTGCTTTTCAAGATGTTGTTCTCTACCCCTGTACTTCCTTCACTGTAGCCTGTGGACTTCTGACAGTCTGCAGGGTCAAGATAAGTGGTCTGCAGGTGGTCTACAGAACCATATTGATGATAAAGGAGTTGGCAGTCCTCAATAAGCCTTAAGGTTAATAGTGTTTCATTGGCTGCAAAACCCGAGAATCTTTATTCCCCTAACTAAAGGAAATAGAATAAGCTGCATGTTTTGAAGAAATATCTTTACTTAATTCAACTAAAATACAATGACATCATTTTTTTAGCTATTAAGAACACAGATGCAGTATGGTTCTCATTCAGAAGACTTAATTGCGTTATTTACATTCTTCCAGAATTAGGATCTATTTGAAAACTCAAGTGATTTTGATGTAGAATTGAAGAAATTCCACTCAAAAGAACAAGTTAGCCTCACAATCTTCCTAGCTTCTCTCCCTGAGTTTTCCTCCACACCAGAGTTGTGTTAAAATATGGTCAAGGTTGTAATTATGTTGAAAGTAACTAATCATTCAGTGTACAAGCGGATTATTGTTTTTAACATTATATTGGCTGGTCGTGGTTTGAACTGACCTCAGCATTACTACTCCTGCTTCTGCAAGTTTGGATGAGCAGCTGAACTTCAGGAGTTAGCTGGGAAAACAGGTGGCCTCGGAGGTGGAAACCAGCTTGAGAAGGAAGTCCTTTTCCTCTTCTTACCCACCTGTTTTGACTCTGCAGTTTTCTGTGTCTTCAGTCGAAATGGTGCAATTATTTGTGAACTGAGGGTCCAGTTTTATAGGACCCCTGGTCGGAACTAACGTGGTCTTCTGCCGCAAAACACTTACTGTGTTGTATTGTACTAAATTAGGTTATTTGTTCAAGTTTTTCCCCCCACTGCCTTACTAGCGACCGACAGCTTCCACTCAAGCAGGCAGTGGGATGAGCAGGCCGTGGCTGCAGGGCAAGGCAGGGAAGCAGGGCTGTCTCCTCAGTCACACCCAGCACCAAACCACAGCTTAAAGTGGCCCAGACTGAAAGTGATGTTTTGTTTGTTTGGATTTTGTTTATTTGTTTTGTTTCCTGTTTGTTTTTTTTTTCTTCTGAAATGTGTTTAAACAGATCAGTTTTGTCAGCAGTAACCAACGGCCGACAGGGCAATCGGCCGGGGCCTGCCGCCGCCTCGCTGCCCTCCTGCCTCCTGCCGCCACCGTTAGAACCGGTGAGGGTGCGTGGCCCTGCCCCAACAGCCGCCACGGACCTGCCACCGTCGGGTCAGAGCAGCGGCCTCCCTGAGGAGAGGCAGTGCCCCGGGGGGAAGCCATGCAGGTGGGCGCAGAGGGTCACCCCGGCCCCGAGCTGTCCTGGTGGGGCAGCAGCTGAGCCTGAGGGCCATGAGGGAGCTGGGGTGGGGATGTCTAGGAAATGGCGGAGGCAGGAGTTGGACTCGAGAGGTGCTGGGTGCTTCGAGAGCTGTGTCCTGCTGCCTGAGGCAACCGCCAAGCCTGCTGGGCAGGGAGAGAAGAAAGGCAAGGTGGCGAGGAGGGCAGGAGCAAAGCCAGCCCCCAGAAGGGCTCCCTTGGCATGGCCAAGCCCGCCGCAGGGCCCCGCAGGACAGAGAGAGCTGGCATTGCAGCCCCGGTCCTGTGTGGCCTTCTCAGTCCCTGCGGGGGTCCCCAGAAATGGCAGATGGGAGGGCAGGTTATGTGGGTTTTCTTGCGAGAATACATCAGGAAACTCTGAGTTTCTAATGGTTAAGAATTAACCACCATTACTGTCCTGTATGAGTAATAAAATACTACACTTTGATAGCTGGACAATCATAGGTGTACCATGTTTTAAAAACATAACTGAGAATTTGCTTCATGTCATTCACCAAAAAAAAGAACTGCAAATTAAATCTATCAGAAGTGTTATTTACACTGAAGGATTGAAGTTATCCAGCCTGCCAGTTCCCAAACTTGATACGTGCATCAACTCTGGCAAAGCTGATGGTAACTAACATTATCACTGGCAGCAGTGAGAAGTGTCATAAGGAGTTTTTTTGCTTGGGATTGTGGCCTGCTAGTAGAGTAATACTGCTTCAGTAGTCCAGCTTCATACTCTGAAACCAGTTGTCGTTGGATCACTTTTGTCACTTCTTGGCTCCTTTGCACTCTTACCATCAGATATATTCTGAAGTTTTTGATGCACAGTTTCATTTATTTCATCTGTTCCCATTACTGCAACCTTGAACTAGTCACTTAGCACCAACTTTTTAAACATTGATTTAACCTAATTTGTTAAAAAATTGTTAAAGGTTTGCTAGCTTCTGATCTTTTCTTCCTTGAGACTGGAGTTCAGATTGATCAGACACACCTCTTTCTGTTATGTTTACTGTGATCTAGGATTCTTGATCCAATTTTTTTTTGCTTTACATTTTGTAGATGTAACAGCATCTAGAAAATGTCCAGTGTACAACTTGTTACACAAACCTATTGAATGTTACAAACATTAAATAGAAATAGTATAAAATATACCATTTAAGTAAAATACTATGGAAACATTTTATGTAGGACCTAAATTTACAGAAAACCACAAAATGTCAAAATCTTTCCTGGCAAAAACTGGCCAGAGCTTATCTTGTAAGTTACCTACATTCCAATTCTGTTTCAGTAGTCCTTTTTGTTGTGTGGTTTGAAATTATTTGTCCAGTTATGATGACGATTTTTATTATTTTTTTTAATGCTTCATGATTCTTCATAATCCTTCTGCTACAGAGAAGGATTTTCATTCTGTGAAGTGGGGAAATCTGATCCTTAATTAAAAGCACAGTAAAGCACTTCTGTGCAGGCCAAACCAAAGTGCATGCGTATTGCTCATATTTCTTCAGGGGTTCCCTTGGAGGAGTAGTCCTCTTAGTTCTGTGGATTTTTTGATACCCTGGCTGTATCTAAGTCAAAATTCTGCTTTGGTGAAGGGTTGGAAACTTGCAGTAAGACTAAGTGTAAGACTTTTTAACGTAAGTAAATCCTGAGGAATTGCACTGTAGCAAAATCTTCATTTGGGTTTTTCCTGTTCCAGACCCATTAGTGACCATCTAATTCATTAGACTATATATGGAGCTTCTCTTTTATTTTTTTCCAAAGGATTATATCAATTTTCAATCCAAGAAGGAGAAAACATCACTTATTTTTAATTCTTTATCTATGCTTTCATATGTGGATAAAGTAAGTTTGCTAGTATATTTGACTTGATGATGAAATAACCATGTTCTTAGAGGCATAATGTTACAGAAAATAATTTTCCAAATATTATAACTATTTACAATGGAGTTGCCATCTCTAGTCCAAAACCTGAATATTGGAGCTTTGCAGAAGGAATCAATTAAAGTACTGAAGTATGAAATCTCTTCTTTATCTTAGCAATAAGGCACTGGATGTTTGCAAAGCCAGAGTGCTCTGCTAGTAGTGAACATTGGTAGCACTACCCTTGCCTGCAGTCTGCTGAGCCCATGCAATAGGAGCGTTGGAGGAACTGTCATGAACTACTGCCACTTCCCTTTCATTCCAAACCCTGCCAAGCCTTGCTTTGTTCCTCATGCCAGAGAAACTGGCAGACTTAAGAGTCTTCTTGCAAACCCACTGTACTTAACTTCCTTGTGAGCGACAGTGTGATTCTATTTAGTCTCTTTGTGGATTTCCCAAGTACATTTTCATCTAAACTGCAAAGCAATTCTTTTACCTTTGTGAAATTCCTTAAGGCATGTGTAGCATTTGATCCTCATTAGAATTTGTTTCATTATACTCATGCTAAATTCTCTACAAGAGCCTTGTTAAATGAAATGAGGCAGCTGGCAGCTGGAAAGGCCAGTGTAGTACTCACGGGCATGGTAGTAATCCAATGGAAATCCCGGATGTTTCTTCAGGTAAAATTTTTGTAATGTACTTTTTGTTCATTTGATGCTGCATTATTATGGAATTATGAATATCACTAAATATTTCTGATATACATGTAT